GCAAGGGGAGAAATCAGGTGATAACTTGGGTCAAGTTGTACACAGAAAGGCAAACCTGTTCCCAGACAATGCAGAGGGCTCCATGCTGTTTTGGGGACTGCATCAAAAAAGATCACAAGTGTTCATTCCAGGCCTGGCTGTCCTCTTATCTTGCCGTGTGATCTTGAGTAGGTCATTTCACCCTTTGGGTCTCATTATCTATCATATTTTATTTTTTTAAAGATTTACTTATTTAAGGGCACCTGGGTGGCTCAGTCGGTTGAGCGTCTGCCTTTGGCTCCGGTCATGATCCCGGAGTCCCGGTATTGAGTCCCGCGTTGGGTTCCCTGCTCCATGGAGACCCTGCTCCTCCCTCTGCCCTTCACCTTGCTCATGCTCTCTCTCTCTCTTTCTCTCAAATAACTAAATAAAATCTTTAAAAAGAAAAAGATTTACTTATTTACTTGAGAGAGAGAACAAGCAGGAGGAGGGGCAGAGTGAGTGGGGGAAGTAGACTCCCCGCTAAGTGGGGAGGTCGCTATGGGGCTCAATATGGGGCTCGATGCCAGGACCCTGAGATCATGACCCTGAAATCATGCCAAAGTCAGACGCTTAACCCACTGAGCCACCCAGGCACCGTCATTATCTATCATCTTTAACTGTGACATGAGAAAGGGGAGAAATGGAGAGAGGAATGGAGTTGTGAATTATCTCTAAGTTCTCCCCAAGTTTTGGTTGTCATGATTCCATGCTTATAGACTAATTGGTGCCTGTCCATTCTTCATTGACCCTAGCAAATGTTTGTTAGATGCTAGCTCCTCCCTGAAGGAAATTTCATGTACAAAAAAATCATTTTCATATTATCTAATTCCTTATGAAATTGCTAATTGTCACTAAATAAAGAAGCCAGCCATTGAGTTGGTAATAAATGTGCTTTTAAAAAAGAAAGAAAGCATTAATAATTTACTGATTGCTGGTGAAGTTCACTTAGTTGGCACGTCGAACCACCTTAGTGATGTTAAGTCATTTGAGAGCAAAAATGTGAAAGAAAGATATTCCAGCTTGTAGTAATTAGAACCAGGGTCTAGTGAGGGTTTTTTTGTTTGTTTTTCTTGGAAGAAAGTTTTGCTATGATGTACCTGAAGAAAGACGTCACTTTGGGAGAGTAATGAAGGCTACATGCTGGAGACACTGTGGGTTTCTCTGAAGAGGTTTATTTGGCTTGAAAGGGATGTGGTTTGAACATGAGCCATGAGTGTGCTTGTGGGCATATCAGAATGAAATGTTGAAATGAGGATTATTCCGGAAAATGATCTGAGGAGAAAATAATGAGGGATAAGTAATGAGGATCCCATTAGTTAAAGACCTTAAATTCTATCCATAGTTTAAAATTATAGGAGAGACACTTGGGAATTTGTGTGGTTCTGGAAATGACTTTTTTTCCTTTTCTCCAAATTGCAGAGTGTAGACACACTTTCCAGCACCTTCTCCACACCCATGAAAAAAAATAACCCAGCCAACACAGAAATACCAGATCTGAGGTGTTGTGAGAAGTCCCTCAATTTAAACCCAGCCCTTCTCTCTATTGCCTGTTTTAGTAAATGTGCCTTGACACCCTCCTCAACATTACCTTGAATTCAGAATTAAAGTGGGTGGAAAGAATAAAAAATGGTACGATGTCCAAAAGCACCAAGTCCCCATTTATGTTAACCTGACAAAACTGTTTATAGTGTCAGAGTGATTATGACACCTGGGGAGAGGGGGAGCCCAAATATGATCACAGAGAGTAAAAGCGAGTTTGAGGGACTCCCTGTATTTCCTCTTCATTCCTCCCTACAAGCTGCCCCATGCTCCCTGGGGCAAGGATTCTTACAAGCAGAACAATAATGAAAGCAACTCCCAACCACTCATCGATGAAGCAATATTAACTATTGCTATTCCTTTCATCATCTGGCTCCTGACGTTTGTAAGCATTTCATTGTTTGTTTTTATCTTATGCACTAGTTTTATACCTTATTAAGTATAGAACACAAGTCTCTTAAGTTTTTTCTACAAGTTTTTCAGAGGCTTGCTTTCTCTATTGTCCAAGTGGTCAATGCCTTCATAATTGCTAACTGCAGGAGAAATTCTCAATCCCCTTTTTGGCATGGGATGCTGTAAACACCTCTTTCCTTATTTCTCTCCCAGTTTCTCTCACACTTTCTGACTTCTCTTTTCTGTGATCTTTCCCTAGGTCTTCTTTTGTTTTAATTTTGTTGCTAGATTTTGTTTTTTTGTTTTTTTTTTTTAAGAGCAGTTTTAGGTTCACAGAAAAATGAAGCAGACAGTTACAGAGACTTCCCATATACCCTCCCCCCATTATCAACATCCTCCTACCAGAATGGTATGTTTGCTAAATTCATAAACCTACATGGACACATCATAATCACCCAGAGTCCACAGTTTACATTAAGGCTCACTCCTGGTGTTGCACATCCTATGGGTTTGGACAAATATATATTGACATGTATTCACCACTGCAGTATTATACAGAGTAGTTTCACTACCCTAAAAATCCTCTGTATTCCACCTATTCATCCCTCTGTCTCCCCTAATCCCTGGAAACCACTGATCTTTTTGCTGCCTCCATAGTTTATACACTTTTCCAGAATGTCATATAGTCAGAATCAAACAATATGTAGCCATTTCAGTTAGTGGCTTCTTTCACTTAGTAATATGCATTTAAGGTTCCTCCAGGTCTTTTCATGGATTCATTTCTTTTTAGCTCTGATTATTATTCCACTGTCTGCATGTACCACAGCTTATCTATCCATTCGCCTACTGAAGAACATCTTGATTGACAATTATGAATAAAGCTGTTCCATGAGCAGGTTTTTGTGTGGACATAAGTTCTCGACTCCTTTGGATAAATACCAAGAAGCATGATGGTTGGAGTGTATAGTGTGATATTGTGATATAATAAGAAATATATATTTGGTCTTCATCTCTGATTCCTTGTACAGAGCCTCTAAAATCCTTGTAATTTCCTGAGTGATGGGGTGATAGGAGCATCTTTTGTTATAATGTTTGATCTTAGTCCCTGTTTCCTAACATAAAAACTTCTAAGACACTTGGGAATCTCCAGAATCATGAATGTCTTTTGAATGCTAATGAGATGTCTAGTGGCTGGGGGCCCCTAAATAGCTTCAGACTGGGGGCTGGTCACTAGAAAGCCCAAGGCATGATTAGAGGGTTAGAAGTTTAGCCCTACCCTACACCCCCAGAGAGGGGAGAGGGGCTGGAGATTGAGTTAATCACCAATGGCCAGTGGTTTCATCAATCATACCTGCCTAATGAAACCTCCATAAAAACCTCTAAACTACAGGGATCAGAGATCTTCCAGGTTGGTGAATGTATCCATATGCCAAGAGGATGGCACACCCCAAAAGCTCCTGTGCTCAGGACCTTCCAGACCTCACCCTATGTACCTCTTCATCTGGCTGTTCAGTTGTACTGTTCTTTATAAACAGGTAATAGTAAGTCAGTGCATTTCCCTGAATTCTGTGAGCCATTCTAGCAAATCAGTCAACTCATTTCAAACCTGCTGGAACTATGTATGCTCCCTATGTTTTTTATTCAGTTAATGTGCTATTTATAACTACCACATACATCCATCCAGGCTACAAAACTCAGTTACCTTCTCCCCTTCATCACCTCTATACCTAATCGATGACCTAATCCTGCTACCCAGGTTTATGAAATATCTTTTGAATCTACCTGCTTCTTTACTTACCCTATTTACTTCATACCTCATCTCTTTCTAAGAATATTGCAATAGTTTTCAGACTTGTCTAACATTCTGATTCTCTTATCCCTAATCCAGTCTATATTTCCATATGAGTCATCATTTGAAGGCAGCAATGTCTTGTAGAACTTTCTGAAATGATGGAAATGCTCTATATCTGCGCTGGCCAATAGGGCAGCCATTACCTCCTATGTTGCTATTGAGAACATCAAATATGGCTAGTATGACTGAAGAATTGAATTTTAGGTTTAACTGATTTCAAATCTACATAGCTTCATGGATCTAGAGGCTACCATATTACACAGCACAGTTCTAAAACGTGGATTTTTTTTTTTTTCATATCCTACCCTAGTGCTTTCAAAAGGTCTTTAACTATAGGATAAGGTCTAGCTAGAGTTTCTAGTATGGCACTGAATGACCCCCATAATCCAATTCCCTCTTCAGTTCTTTTTTTTTTTTTTTTTTTT